TGAATTGAAACAGCTGACAAAATTTGGCACAGCCAATTGCCTACCCCGATACTGAAGCCTCTAAGTTGGACCCCCCTGAGAGCAGTCCAGCCTGACCCCAGAAGCTCGGCTGACCTTCACAGCCAAAGCCTGAGCTTCTCCGTAACCCACCCCCTGTGCACTGAGTTCAGAACTGCAGGTGGCAAGTCCAAGAGGTCTGCCAGCAGCAGTCCCATAATTCCCAGCTCTAGACCCCCGGCCCTTCTAGACACCACTTTCCATCTCTATTGCCCATCATTAACACCATGCCCAGAAGGGGGGACAAATAGTGGGCAGACTGCTTCCTACACAGTAACCAAGAAGCACAAGGTGCAGCAGTCACAGGGGCGGATATGGCTGGGGACAACCCTCAGGACCAGCCATACAGATCACATATCAAAGGGAACCTCAGGTAGCCCCTGAGCAGACTCTGTCCAATTGAAGAGACCCCCACCCAGGGCCAGCACCATTTTTTGTAGCAGCTGCCATACCCAGATGTAATCAGAGGCCATCAGGACATAAGTGACAAGGACACTGCCCCTCTTCCACTCCCAGGTGTCACAGCTAGCAGGACCACAGCATGTGCCTGTTAGGGAAAGGGCTGCAGAGTGCGGACGGGTGCACGGGGCCATGACTGCATTTATTGTAACGGTTGTGTGAGCTTTAAATGTGGTGTAAGGTGTGTGAAGACCAGCTTTTGCTCAAAGATGTATATGTATATAACTACATATAGAGAGAGAAATATATTTTTTCCCAAAAAAATGTGCGTCTTCTATCTGAGCCATGTTCTACCTTCCGATGCTTGTTATCAATGTAATTCAGCAACTTGGGGTTAAACATGGCTGGTGCAGGATAAAAGGTGTTTTTCTTTAACACACCCTAGCACCCTTTAAAACCTCCAGCATAGATCCCACACACGGTACTCTAACATATATTAGGTGAGGGAGGGGAACCAGTTCCTACAGCTCAGGGTATAGAGGATAATTAACACTGCTTCGAATTTTCACGTCCAAAGTGCTCACAAGTCGCTGATAAGCCTTCACCACTAGGCCGGTGTGAAGCAGCTAATCACCACCTCTGGGAAGGAGGCAAGGCTTTCCCTATGTTACCAATAAGGGAGTCGATTAGGATGGCCATCATAGAGGACATTCTGGTTTTCTGCTACTCGGTCCTCTATTGATACAAAACCCGACGCCTTTATGTCCTCTATTTTTCTCTTCTCTTGAAGAGAAAAATAGAGGACATAAAGACGTCGAGTTTCATATCAATAGAGGACCAAGGACAATGGGACTGTCCTCTATGATGTCCACCCTAGAATTGATGCATGGGGTTACATTTGTCATTGCCTAGCTGCTGAGGCTCTTATTTTGCTTCGGTGCCAAACACTCCCATTCTGATCTGGTAGCACATGAACTGTTTTGCACCGGGTGACAAAGGACAATGAGCGGGCCCAAAGAGGCCTGTTTTCCGTGCAGATCCCTGCGAATCTCAGGCTCAAGGTCACTTGGGCAAAACCTCACAGGGAGTGAGCGTGAGAGCTGGGATGAGTGAGAACCAATTCCTCGCCTACTCCAGTTAGGTTCTTCCACCATCACAGGGGTAGGCGAGTATTGCACCTCCCTGTCGCGTGGGTGATGCTCAGCCTGGACCCATGGGAATATATTTTAGCCCAGGTTTTAGGCGTTGCCACCCTTTTGTCATTCTCATCAGCTAGCTGTTATTTCCCCTGGACTGATCCAGGGGTGGCAGCCTACACCCCCTCCCTGATTAACTCGGCATTTCCGTCCAGCCCGATGCATCCCAGAGAGAATGAAACCTAGTTCCTCATGCAGCTTGGCAGGTCTTGCAGTGCAAGTGCTCTGACATGTTCAATCTCTCTATCGCCCTTGTCTCATCCAACAGGTAGGGTGAGTTACTAGGTAACCTCCCTCCGCCCCTCCACGTCCTTGGTGGAACATCAGTGACTTGCCCCTGAATCACGAAGGATGTCACCCTTGCAAGTGCTGTGCCCAGGGGGGCTGGATGCTGCTGTTTAATAATAGAAGGAGCAAGGGAAAGGATTGGCTCCTTGATCATCCCCCCCTCCCCTTCCCCCTCCCTCTTGTTTTGACTCCGGGATAACTGGGATGGGAAGTACAGTCCCTGCGGCCCCAGGATGGAGGAAATCAACAGCAAAGCACCGAGGAGTCTGTTTTGTAAGCAAGGGGCCTTGGGGCAGGACTCTCACATGTCCCTGGCGTGGAGAAAAGTCACTCATTCCAGCTCCTGCGTTACCTCCCACCTGCAGTGGAGCTCACGGGCACGGAGGTGAAAGAAACCTGACTCGGAGCTTATAGCGTCCATGACACCGACGTGCCAGCCGCCCCAGTGGTGCCACATCTGAGCATCACCCAGTCTTTGACAGGCCCAGATCCTCACAGGTATGTAGGCCACTAAGGAGAAGCAAGGTGCCTACACACCAGTGAGGATCTGGGCTGAATGACTCACTCGAGGTCACACGAGAGGTCTGTAGCAGAGCACGGTATTTGATCTCCAAGCCCCAAGGCCCAAGGTACTTCCCTCTCAGGAAGGAGTTCCACAGCAGGGGAGATGCCACGATCAAAGTTTCTGGCCCAGATGGTTTTACTGACCCAACAGGGGAGATCCCCTTCTTCTGAGCCTTGAATGACCTGGTGTAGTGGAGGGGGGAGACCTGCCCATTGCACCGCAGACAGGCTGACCCCTGCAAGAGTCTACAAATGCTATCCAGTGGGAGGGGCTCAGCTACACAATTTATGGTGATGGGGGATTGTTCTCAGGCTTTCTGTCTACCTTGCTCCTTCGGCCTTTTGGCCACGGGCAAGTGAGACTAGGGGGCAACTGAACTCCAAGGCCTCATGCCCTTGGGGCTTGTACTTCGGATGCCTGCCATGGATTTGGGAGTATCTGAAGTCCCAGGCTGAAGAGTCCGGGAAAGAGGATGCTTGCTGGTGGTAGCGCCACGCAGACTTGAACAACTGACCTCTACTAAATCGACAGAATTTGGAACTGATTTGACCCAAGACATGGAATTGCAAAAAATATAAAGCAAGTGGTCCCATGTTGTCCTGGTACCTCCTGGGTGAATAATGTGTGTGTGACCCTTCTTCTGGCTCTTTGTCTCTCTTTGCATCCAAGGCCTGGCATTAGCAGATGCTAAGGTGTTACCGGCTGGGAGCGGGCAGCTCAACTGTGTGGATCAGCCACCCAGCGGTGCTTGGGGCAGGGAACAGGACTTTGTTCTGCCGTTGTGCATCACTTTGCACTGTGGGGTCCTGGGCCAGGCCTGGGGCCTTTGGGCACTGTGGCTACACAGAGAGTACCAAGAGCAATCATTTGGCCAGTGCATTTACACACACACTGTTGGCCTGGCATCTGGCACCATTTGCGAGCTGCATTTTTCCCATCTGCTAGCATGGCTATTATTCTTCTTGACTCCTTGGAGGAAGCACCATGGAAGTCAGAGGTATCCAAACTTCAGCCCTGATCCTGCTGTCTTTGGGAACTCTCCCAGGAACTATCTCCTTTGTTAATTCCTGCTGCCTGCCTGTTAATCTCATTTACAAACAATGGGCAGCTTAGTCATAGCACTGAGCCCTTCTCTGGGGCTGTTCATCTGTACAGCTCAGGCCACTTCCCAATGCTGATCTGACTGATATGGCACATGTGAATTGCCCAAGGCCACATGATCCAGCACTGGGAAGGTCTTCCATAGGGCCTCCCTGTCCTATGAAAGACTGTCCATTGCCCAAGAGCCCTAGCCTCCAGGACCCCACAATGCAAGGTGATGCAACTCCCCCACGATTAAAGGGGAAAATCACTCTGGATATAAAGAGCTCCGCTGGATGAGAAAGGACCGGGCCATGCAAAAGAGCTCTTTGCTGGGAAGTGCCAAAGCAGCCAAGTGTTTGTGGGTGGGGAGATTCAGCTCTCCACCCCTGCCTGGGGTTGCCCAGGGCTTCATGCTGCTCTGCCCAGAACCCATTGAAGGCCAGTGGAGGGCCTGGGACAGACAGGGATTTGCATCCCCTGCATAGACAACTGGTGCCTCTTGACTCGGGGGGGGCACCCGCAGAAGCCACCACCAGCGGGGATGGAGTTGGCGAGTACCCGCAGGCGGTGTCAGCAGTGGGGACGGTCATGTTGGGGGAGGCACATGCCCCCCTGTGCCTCTCCCTACCTTGCACCTATGATTCCCTGCACCACCTCATTACAATGCACCTGTCTAGCAGAGGTCTGGCCTGGAGCCTGCGAGTCCTCACTTTTGTTCCCAACATTTCTTCTGACCTGCTGTGCGGCGTGAGGGGAGAGACCGTTTCCCCTGCAGCTCCGTTTTCCCTGCCCTGGGCCTGTCCTGCCTTTTGACACACTCAGCTCTATGGGGTCAGGGACTAGCTCTCATAGGAGCCCCCCTGCAATGGGGAGACATCGTTGTGGGGCCTCAGGATGCTGTCATAACACAAACACGCCAGGGCTCGGAAGCTAAGGAAACAGGGCTGGGTGGCATGCCAAGGACAGACTTCCTTCTGCTTCTCACCTTCCCCAGGCTTATTGCTAATGGCCTGGGTGCTGCCTCTCATTCCAGCGTGGGAATGAATCATCCTCTCTTTTGTGTGTTCTCTATAATTTTCCCCCTGTTCTTGCTCTGCCCAGAAACAAGAGCAGCAAAGGAAGAGCAATACATTCCCAGCCGGCCTGCCTCCCTCGCTCCCAGCCCCACACCCCTATTCCAGATGGGTCAGGTTGATGGCAAGGCTTCCCAGTCCCCACGCAGAGGTGGCTGCACCAGAATCCCAGAGCAGGCAACCCCCAGGAGCTGGGACTGAAGCCATCTGTGCGTTTGGTCCCCCTCACACAGAAACCCTTATCCGCCTTGCGTACACAGGTTCCCACGCATAGGTAAGCCCTACAGCGGGCCAGAACACCTTCCCGAGAACATGAGGACTGGATGTGTCGGTACTTGCCTTGCCTGGAATATACTGCAGTATTTTGTCTGTGGTGATCTCTCTCTCCTGTCCTGATTCAATGCCAAAGAAGCTGCTCAGTTTTTTCTTGCTCTCTTGTCTACAAAGAAATAAAACACTGAGATCAAAGCTAGCAGGGAGCAAATTCCTCAGAAATCAAGGGGAAAGCGAGAGTTGGCCATCCTGCATCCTTCCCCAATAAATGTCTATAATCAGCTTGCAAGAATGTTAATTGCTTCTCTGCAGCACTTGTTGGCTTTTCTTTGTGTTGTGTACTTACCTTTGCATAACTAAATGCTCAAGAGTTTATCTCCAGCGCTGTGCAGATAACAGAGGGGGCAGCTTGCAGATAGATCTAGTGGGGATGGCCTTCCAACAGCCTTCAGGGTGGGGAGGGGTGGATCCCCCAAGGGCTCACCCAGACCCATACCCACCCACTTTTATTTTCCTCTTTGTGCCAGCCCTATGTCATCCTTCAAAACCTCCGTCCTACCTGCTTAGTACCTGCATCACAAACACAGCTGTGAACACGCATGGTGGCAATGATCTAACATGCATCGAGCAGGGACTCGTGAGCTGTTTTAGCTCTTCTAGCCAAATGGCAGCATGAACGCTCTGAGGACCAAACTGTCACCTGCAAGGGGCTGGAGTGGAGACCCCATAGTGAAGGCAACATAACCCAGGGATGTCAGGGGGAGGGGAAGGTACTTGACACCTGGCATGGTTCAACCTTTCTACTGTAAGCTTGTGGCCAGCTCTGGTGGGTCTAAATTCTCCTCTCATTTATATCTGTGGTAGTCCTAAGCAACTCCCCTGAATGCTGTTACCTGCTCTACACTGGTATGAAGGAGAGGGAAAGCAGGCCGCAGCAGACCAACAGGGGTTGGGGGACAGCATCCCAGAGCGGGGGCGATTCATGTCCCTGCTCTCACAGCATTGCCATTTGCATCTTCAGACAGCGATGGGGAGAGAAATTGCAGCGCTTGACAAAGCTAACACCCCAGCTGCAGCCCAGAGCTCACATTTGGGGCAGAGCCCTTTGCAGATTCCACTTCTCGAGCAAGCAGCAGCACAGACAATGCCAGGGGGACTGAACGAGCTGGCATGACTGCAGAGGTGGGCAATATTTGGTAAGCGCAGGCTGCAGACTCGGATTGGCACTGCCCTCATTTGGGTTTTATGCTGTTGCCCATCACCCTCATGTCAGGGCACCTTGCAGGGAAATCAGCAGCAAAAGTCCCTCAAGGGGATGCATCTGGAATGGTTTCCCTTTAGGGGTTAAACAAAAAAGCACAGCATGCATCCAGTAATTCAAGCTGCCTGGATTTGGAGCGTTCCCCTCTAAACCAGCTCTGATGCTGGTGCCTGCAGTCACTGACATTCTTATCCGCTGATGAGTCGGTGCCGGAGGTCTTAAGAAGCGACAAATAAAAAAATCTCGGGGAAAAGGAAGGGCAGCTGTTTCACTGTCCCCCACAAGTGCCATGGAGTTTTCATTTCTAAAATAAAATGGTATAAATCACTGTTGCATAGGGGAGGCAACAATATGCAGCCGCTCGCCCTCCAGAATTCCCACTCTGGCCCTTGCCCTACCTTGCTCTTGTTCACAGCTGTCCAGCCTCATGCAAAACCAGGCAGAATTCATATTTGCTAAGCCCGAAAGCAGCCCCTGGGTGTCCTGAGACAGGCTGGGTTACTAGCCCAGTCTCTGCTGGTGCACCGCAAAGGGGGAAAGCAGCAGCAAGGCTTTAAACCCAGTCCTAAGTAAAAGCGAGCATACTTACTCTTTCTTTAGCGAAGGTTTCCTGCTGAACGAGCGTCTGAACGAGTGTCTGAATCTCCCAGGTGCCTGGGGAACACAAGTTATGTTCCCCATATTGAGAGCAACTGGGATAATCCAGGAGCAGCTGGGAGGGAGAGCGCTAGGCAGAAACTGAGCGAGAGAGTGTGGAGCCAGGGAAGTTTGTGAGCATGTCATGCAGACATTCCCCACTTCCGTCTGCAGTGACTCTTGTGGGTGTGATCTGTGAGCAAACAGACTTTTGGCCAAAGGCTGTTACTGGGTTCCCTGCCTCCCTCTCCCTTCCCCTCTCCACCCCCGCACAGGGCTGGTAGCGGAGAGCTTTGCTATGGAAATGGGAGGGATGTTTCAGGTGAACCAGAGTGTTTGGAAGTACCTGTGATCTTCCCAACTCAGGCTGCGGAGGAGGGCAGAGGAATTTGGCAGGGGATTGTAATCACTCCTAGACAAGGAGGATTCTGCACAACGAAGAATTTACAACTCACAGTTGACATCTGATCCCTAGGCAGATCTCTGCTGAGCACCACAAAAGCCACTGAGGCTGGCTGGAGGCAATATTTCAGGATTGGGCCTCGAGAGCACAATGGAAAGGGTTCGGTGCCTGTGTTCAGATCTGCATTTATTTTTCTTAATAGTGTCTCTGCTGGCAAAACCCACTGCGTTCACAGAAGTGCTTCAAACAGTCGTATCTTCAGACTCAAAATGTGGTGCCTCCAGCCTGGGGAAATTCTAGCTTGGACCTCATCTGGAGAGCCAAAGAGGAAATGATCACAGAATTAAAAAGGTGTATGAAGCAACCATGACTTGCTGACATGTGTTATATGCAAACAGAATAAAGTCCAAGCCAGCAATCGATGGACCTCACATCTTCAAAAGGGCCGGCTTCTTCCACTGAAAACAAGTTTTGAGCCAAATCAGCTGGGAGAAAAGAACTTAACGGGAATGAGGAACTGTTCCACAATGTCTTACTAAATGCTCAGACAAGGACAACTGAGAAAGAAGTTTGCACTGGCTAAAAAAAAAGCACCCTGGCTTACAGGGGAAGTGAAGGTAGCTAAACCAGCGAATGAATGGGGAAAATTGGTAACGTTCCTTATGAAACAGAAGCAACAAAGGGTGGCCAAAAATTGATGAGGGAAGCAAAAGGCTACAAAGGGAAATGAATGGCCTGCAGAAATGCATGACTGCACGTGGGAGGTATATTAGGTATATAAGGAATCCTAATAGTGGCACTGGTCCATGACTAGATGGAAATGGTAGAAGTGTCAATAATAATTCCAAAAAGTTAGCAGTGCTGAATAAATATTTCTGATCTACCACTGAGGAAAAAGCAGAAGATGCAGTCCTATCACATGATAAAATACTTTCCATTCCAGCAGCAACTTGGGAAGATGCTAAAAGTCTATGTGTAAAGCTAGACATTTTCAACTAAACAGGTCCTGATATAACTTGCATCCAAGAGTATGAAAAGAGCTGGCTGAAGAGCTCTTGGAACCACTAATGCTGATGTGCAGTACTACACTGGAGAAGTCCTACAGGACTGGGAGACAGCTTCCCTCATGCCAATATTTAAAATTATATCTATAGATTGGCCAGCCTGACACCAGCCCCAGGCAAAATAATGGAGCATCTGATAAAGGACTCCATGAATGAAGATTTCAGAGAGGGTAATTAACACTAGTCAATATGGGTTGGAGGAAAATAGGCCTTGTCAAATAAGGCAGTATCTCTTTTTTGGTGGAGAAATGTTCTAATGCTGAGAAAACAGAGCTGGGAGCATCACTGGGGCACTGGGCTGGCAGGGATCTGTCAGGTTTCTTTGGAGCCACCTGTGAGCGTTTCTGCTCAGATGTGGAGGAAGACAGAGGAGCAGAATCCAGGCTGTGAGGCACCTGACTTGTATTCTGCGTGGCAAGTGATTGAGAAACCAGCACGTACATATTGACGTGGCACACTAAGAGCTTAACAACTGCCTAACGCTTCCCAGTGTCATTGGTAATGGGGGCACTTGTGGGGCCCTACAGGGGTGAATTTGGATTCCCATATTGTTCAACAGATTGGTCAATGCCCTGGAAGGAAACACAGGGTGCATCTACACATGACATTTACTGCACAGTAACCAAAATTACTGCACAGTATGGGCACACGTCTACATGTGCACGTCCGTACTGCACAGTAACTATGGTGATTTATGCTGACTTGAGCGTAAATTTGATACCAGCATCATGCAGGTATCAAATTTACGACCAATTAGTGACTGCACAGTAAAACACATGTAGATGGCTTACTGCCCAGTAGGACTGTGTGGGTGGACTGACTTGGGACTAAAGTTAGTGTTAATGTACTTTAACATCTGCATGTGTAGATGCCATCCTATTCCTGCTTACTGTGCAGTAACTTACTGCACAGTAAATTTAAGCCAGTTTAAATACACATGTAGACATGCCCATGGAGTTGTTGCCAGTGCCTTTTTCAGATGACACTGAAATGGAGAGAATGACCAGAAATAAGGAGGGCAGGCTGCTGCTGCTGGAGCATTTGGCAAGCTGGGTCCATGTGCGTTCCCATGTGGCCAAATTAAGTCCTATGTCTAAGAATAAAGTAAACTCCCTTTCTGGGGAGTGGGGATAGGGGTGCTCCATCCAGGGAAGCAGCGATTCTGGGAGAGTTTTAGGTCACAGCGGATAAGGCATTAGACATGAGCTCTCACGTCAACCTCCAAGAGATCCATGGAGGTGTTAACACAGGAATCACAAAGGGAGCAAGGAGCTTACATGGTTGCTTCTGGATCCACCCTCACCAGGACACTGGGCCCAGGTTTGGTATCTGCAGTTCAGCGAGGAAGCAGAGAAACTGGAGAAGGTGCAGAGAAGAGCCATGGTAATGACTCCAGGGATGGAAACCTGCCTTGTAAGGGAAGATGCAAGATGCTCAATCTATTTTCCTTGTCAGAGAGGAGACTAAGGAGTGACTGGATCACAGTCTTTAAGGACCTGCTTGGAGAACAAACACTGGATAATCATCTGGCTGACAAAGGTAGAACAAGGTCCACTGGTTAGAGGTTGAATATGGACAAGTTTGGACTAGAAACAGGGCACCGCTCTTTAAACACTGAGAGCAATCCATCACTGGAACAACTGACAAGGGGCGGCAGTGGCTTCTTCATTACTGGAAATTATTATACTCAAGGCTGGTGTTTTTCTAGCGGTTAGGCTGAGGTCAAACAAGAACTGATTTAGGGAAGTCTTCTGGGCTTGAGTTATACAGGTCACATTAGGGGATCACCATGATCCCCTGTGGCTTTGTAATCTATTCATTTGCCTATATGTAATTCAGTGCCCTAATGTTGTGGGGTCCCACTGACAGGTTCACAGACACTTGAGAAATACACTGTGTTGCAGGGCAAGTAACAAATGTGACTTGTGGGAAAAGACTGGGTTGATTGGTTTAAAGAACTGGTCCCTGGTGTGGGAGGAATCAGGATTGAAATGGGTATCAGTGGGTTACATTAAAAAAGGCAGGGCAGGGGGGGGTTTCTGCAGGGCAAGGCAGGAATAAAAGCATTTTCCAATGCTGGGCTCCACTCTGGAACAACCTCATAATAACACACCAGGCTGAAAGGCCCAACCTTCAGGAGAAACTCCCACGAGGCTGTTCCTGGAGCTGCAGTGCAGGCTCTGTGGAGGAGCCCTCC